TTTGTACTACTGGGGCATGTAGTAGACAGAAAACAAGCAGCACATCAGGTTAACCCAATTGCAGTTCTGTATTGTAAGGAGGATGTGTTAATGGGGCTTTTCAGGGAAGCCTGTTTGCCTCTGAGTGCTCATGGAGGATTCTGGATGGTATAATGATAGAATTTTCACATGACCAGAATTTCATGACATCATTTGTTAGCATATGGAATGCCACAAGGGAGTTCTACTTTATTTAACATAGTAACAATGAACAGCTGGCTGCATTACAGTCCTCTGTGTCAGAGAGGATACAGTCAAAATATATTAGTCTAGTTTAAAACATTCAAATTACTTTTTTGTAGGCTGGCCAGCATGCCCCGTGAGTGAGCAAAAACAAGGAAAAGACAACTCAATAGTGGAAATAAAATGTCAAACATAATGAGAGCCTGAGGTCCAAGCAGAAGAAATGTTGCCATGAAAGGTGTTAGAGGGATTTAACCTATTTAAGGGACATGGATTTTAAAGGTATCTAGTTTCCAGAACTGCTCTGTTGTCTACCAGGACTTTTAAGCCAAGAATTATATATGATACAATGTTGATATCACTATTCTGATAAAATTATGATTTCACTTGTCTGAAAATTCCAGTGTTAAAATGTCAACTATTAGCTCCTTTTGCAGCCCTGTGAGTTTAGCAGGGACATTTGATCATTCCCAGCTCCTGGCATTGTCTTATTTGCTGGGGTTGTTCTGGAGCACCTCTGCTCCTTTCCCCTGCAGCCACATCAGCATCATTGCAGCTGCAGTGAGGGCACCAGACAGCTCTGACCATTGTGTATTCTATAGAGAATTTTAGAACCTTTTGCACATTAGCACTGTGTGGTGTGTCCCAAAATCTGCCATGTGCAGTTGGAGCCCCTGTAATGGCAAACAGACTGTGAGCTGCTTCTTTCTCTGTGCAGCCTTTATCAAGTTTCCTAGTTTTTCCAAACCTCAGCTCACCAACTAGAGAATTAGGATTAAGCATTCATTTTCTCATGTGTTTGATGGATGTACAGAGTTCTGTCATCTAGCATTTGTTTTGCTATGTCATTTGTCATAGCAAAACAGAAATACTCTGCACAAACCTCCATTCATGTTGGATTTTTAGTGAAGTTTACTCAAGTACATGCAGTATTATACAAGTTAATAATAGGAAGAAAGATGTCACTTCTTGACAGTTTTTGGTATTACCCACAGACCTTTTCAGGGTGCTTTGCTAGTGCAGGTTTACAAGCTGAAAAGGACATTGTGTTGCCACAGTTGGTATAAAAGATCTTTCTGTAGTATTAAAACATGGGATTGACAGGAAGATTTCTGTCATGATTGGCCTGATTCTTTGTTGCTTTAAGTATGCATTGTTATACCTTGGTATTGGTATTCTTCTAATAGTTAACAGAATAACACTGCCATTAGCTTTTCTTGCCACTAGGCAGAGTTAGACATATTCAGGAGCTGGTGCCTTTGGGCATTGGTGTTTGCATTGCTTTTTCCCCAGCTCACCTGCTATTCTGCTTTGGAGGCAGATGGCCAGAACCAAGAAAGGGTTTCCAGATCTGGCCTTACAAACTGCTGAATGAACAACCACTTGAGGTTTTAGTGCACAATTAAATGTGACTTTGTCATACTTTAATGGCCAAATGAAAGGGGATTCAAAATTGGGAAGGGAAAGAAAGAAGAGCAAAATGCAGCAATAGTCTTGAGGTATCATCCTCAAAGGAGGTTTTCAACAATTGGATAAAGGACTGAATGATATCTTACAGATTTTTTTTTCCTTCAGAAACATTTTTCTTATCTGTCCATGATATTGAGAGGGAAACACTTTCCTCAGCCCCAAAGTGAAATGAAACAGAATTTATCCTTACAGTTCCCCTGAAACAAATACAAAGAGAATGACATTGTCTCACATCTTAGAGTTACTGATGGGGAAAGTGAGGACTGAAGTGGTCAGGGTGGGTGAAATCTACTGAAATGCACTTTTGGAAATGGACTGGAAAATACAAAATGCAAAGGCTCTGCCAGTCTGCAGCAAGAAAATTACATTCCAGCTTTTCAAGCAAGAGACGTTGAAACAGAGCTGCTGCTCTTAAACACAGCTCCTTGTGCAGAGGTGTTAAATCAGTTTATTTACCTAGCACAAACATGACTAGAATGTGTGAGGAGGAAGGTGCCTGCCTCCTGCAGCATCCCAGCTGAGGACACAGGCAGCAGGACGTGCAGGCAGGGCTGGTTAAGGGAGGGATGGAAACAGGAACTCAACTCAGCTCAGTCTTATGATGGGAACAAGTGAATTAGAATAAGAGATGTAGGATTTCATGTTGACTTGAACATTTCAAATTACAATAAGGACACAAATTTAATAAAAATTTTATTGTCTCCAGAATAATGGGGAGATTTGTTATGGTTTTTGTGTGTCAGAAAATGCTGTAATTAAGACTGCACTATAAAAACAAGTGTGACAAGAGTTATTTTTAAGGTTCTCAAACTCTGACAAATTCTCCTTTTAAGCTTTCTTGCTTTCCCCAACAGTGGGTAAAAAAATCATATGATGTAACAAAAAATCATAATTGCAAGCCCTTTTAAAGCTTGTTTTAAAAAAAAAAGTAGAAAATTAAATAAAATATATATTCTGATTCCAGTTTGCATAATTTAACAAAAATAAATTTAGGGCTCAGTGGGAAAAAGTAGCTCCCATATGGCATTTTCTATGCCTACATTTTTTAGAATAAAATGTAGTCATGGAAAATATAAAGAATAAAATATAAAGAATAAAATATAAAGAATAGCTTGACACACTTGTTGCCGAAAAATATGCATTCTAAATATTTCAGCACTGAAGAGCTAACATGTATTGCTTGATATTCCCCTTTTTGCAATTTAGCATTGCCATTCTAATAAAGCTTTGATGTATAATATCACTTTAAAAAGTCAGTCACTCTTCACTATTTGGTCTATGCCTGTTTTGCTATGTAGGAATGAAACCAAGCAGTGCTTAATTGATGATTAAGTTTATCTATCTGCATTATTTCTGTTAATTATTCCAGGTGGGCTCTCCTACCTGCTGGGACGATACTCAGTAGTAGAGTTGTAGTGCTAAATAGCCTGCAAGTAGCACTTTTTTATAAACCAGACTGTATTTAGCCTCTGTGTTTTCATTATAGCTATTTTCCAGACACCAAAAGCTGAGTTTGTTTTTTTGAAAGAGACTCCACAAGTATAAACTAGAGCTTAACTTTTTATTATTTGTAAATGTTACATGTTTTATTGCTGAAGAGCTTTATCAAAACTTTGCACAGGACATTGAATTCAGTGCTGGCAAGGGAAAATGATCCATCCTCCCTATGCAGAAAGCATTACATCATGGAGGGATGGAAACAAAGAGCTCTGAGGGACTGGGATAGGCAAACTTCCCTCCACTCACAGGAAATGGGTGAAGCCTTTCTTGAAATTATTATTCAGACATTTTGTGCTGTGAAGGAAATGTCTCCTGATAGCACAAGCTATTGGTTTCCTGTTGTGAACTAACAGTTTTGGCATAACCAAGAATGGACAGGAAGGGCAAATGATTGGGGGTCATTGGAAGAACTTATTTTAATGAAAAGACCAGACCAAGTAAGTGGGAAGAAATTTGGCCTGAAAAAAAACCCTGAAATTAAAATGGGAGTGGGGGAAAGGGGAAAAAAAGGGCTCAGATGCTGATTTCTATAGTGGAATTAAACAATAATAACACCAAAAAAATGTTCCCCATGAAACGTTCCCAGGGTTAGCAGGGGGAACTCTGTTGTTGGGCAGGAAGTATTGCAGGGGGAGAAAGCCCTTTGTGTCCTACCTAATCAAGGGCCTAATTCAACAAATATATATCCGGCTTCTACACTGAGGAAAGCAATTTTTGGAAAGTTTCACAGATGTGGAATTGCTTGGGTTTTTTTTACAAGTAAGACCTTATAACAGAGGCACTTTCAAGTATTCTTTTTTCAAGCAGGGTGTATAAATAGCAGTGCCAGCAGGTCCCTGCACTGCCTGCGTGCTGGGCCAGCTGAGTGTGAGCAGGAAAAGGCAAAGGGAACACAGGCAAAGGCTTACATGACATGTTCCTTCCCAGCCTGCTGTGCCAGCAGGGAGGAGGAGGATTCCCTGGTCCCCAGTGAGCTCTTTGGGGACCTGTGCCACCTCCACAGCCTTGCTGAGGCCGTGCCAGGACTGCCCTCACATGTGTGCTGCTGGCTCTTCTCTGGAGGGAACAGTGCAGAGCTGCTCCCATCTCCAAACCTTTCTCCTGGAGCATCATCACTCCAGCTCCTCTCTGGAGGGAACAGTGCAGAGCTGGTCCCACTCCAGAGCCTTCCTCCTGGAGCATCATCACTCCAGCTCCTCTCTAAAGGCGACAGTGCAGAGCTGCTCCCAGCTCCAAACCTTCCTCCTGGAGCCTCCCAGGGCTGGAGGATGGAGATCATGGCAAGGAGCACTCACTAAGCCCTGCCCTGTCACTCACAAGGTTTCACTGCCAGCAGCAAAAAGTAAATCTAAAAATCTCTCCAGTGTTGCAGGCTTCTTTTTAAGATGGCAGCCTAAGTTTCACTTCAAACATTCCGATCATTCTATTTCTAAAAATCAATGAAATCTGCTTGGATTTCTGTGTTATGTACTCTTGGAGCAAGCATTTGCACCCTTGCAAAGATTATTTTGGTTGTATGGAAATTCAGGTTGTAGAAAGTGGCTGCCTGGTTCAGAAAAAACATGAAAAGAGTTACTTTGTTTTTGCAGATTCTTAAAAGGCTGCCTCTAAAGAGTCTTTTATGATGCCAAACCTAAAAGAGTTTGTAAAAATGTGTCTGAATTTGTCATGGGATTTAATTTATGTAGAATTTTTAAACCCATATACAACATTTCTGCTTTCTACTCTTAGAAAAATACAAACTTCAGTCACATTGGAATAATGCTTTTTTTTAACATCTCCTTTTAAATATTTTTGTTTCCATTTAGGACTGCCAGCATTACCATGGAAACCCCCAAAAATAAAGACTCCCAGCCTTATGAGAGTACACCTGCAAGAGCAAGAACTGCCTATCAAAAGGGACTTCTTGATTATGGGTGTCACCTAAGGACATTTTGTGAGGTCAGTATGACTTTTTCTCTCAAAACTTATTGAAATTATATTCTTAGCATTGATACAATTTGGTATCTTGCCATGGACCAGTAACAAATGTCTGTTGCTATCCAATAGTGCTCTTTTAAATATACTATCTCTGTTTCAAGAGAAAAACCAGCTCTTGACAAACTGTAGAGTTGAGTTTTGAAGCTGTGAAATATCAAGATGAAATAAGCACTCATCTCAGTGAGACAAACACGTAAAATGCAGATCTAATAAGCTGTTTTAATATAAATCATTCCACTGGCTTCAGAAGGACTTGGATCAGAGTTACAAAGAGAATTGCAAGAATTCATCTGCTGCTTCCTAGTAGAGAGGTGGAGAATATTTACTAGTGAACATTGGCTACTATCAAAATGGATCTGGTTAGATTTTTCAACACTGCTAATTTTATTTTTTTTTTATTTACAGAATTAAACAGTTTGAAATTTTACAATTGCAATTAGTTCTGTGCAGTTTTCAAATTAAAAAGTTTTTTAGTTAATTGCAATGGCTCAGCATATATTTTTTCCAAGAAGAAGGCAGCTATGCTGGTAGGACAGAATTCAGATAACCTGGCAGTACATATGAATAATACTTTAAGACAATGTTCTTGTAATAACAAGCTCTCAAACCAACCAGATATTTCCATTCTTTTGCTGCCTACTCTCTGTTCTCAACTAAATGCATTGTATATTCTGCTTGCCAAATTGTTAAAATTTCCAGTGTATGAAGGCTTTTGATTTGTGTACCTTTCTGCAGTGTAGTGGCAATTTGACAAGCCTGCATCTGTAATGAGCACCACTGGGAAAATAGAGATTTTTGTTTGTTTGTTTTTCTGTATTAAGGACATTCCAAAACTAATGAGAAACTGAATTTTAAATGAAGCTAGAAATACACCTTTGTGTTATTACCAATAGCATAGGAAAATCACCTACATATTTTTTGCAGTTGTTTAAGCACACTTATTAAGCAGACTAACTTAAATGCACTCAGGTGTTACCAAGATTTGCTTTTCCCTGCTCTTTAATGAGCAAGGTCCTTGGCAGAACTGTTTTTCAGCATAGACAAACCTCAGAAGTGCTATCTGTAACATCTCCATGGTATGTCTAACACCAAATGATCCTGTTCAAACCAATGGACACCTTGGGAAATCAGATGCTATTCCACATGAAGAGGAGCAACAGCTCTCCAGGAGTACTGAAGTATTAAAAGAAAGAACAAATTCAGTCCTCAAACCAGGTGTTTGCAGTAAAGAGCTGAGTCTAGAGAGGGAGAGATTCATTCAAGCAGAACATTTAGCAGTACAGGACAAATTAGTGGCATGACTATTGATTGCACTGTCTCTGACTATAATCTCATCAGAATATTATCATTTTTCAGAACTGGAGCTTCCTGTTGTACAAATGACAAATTCTCCCAAAGAAGTCTGGTGCTTCTAAGAAGAGATATTTCCAAAAGTGCACAGGTACTGTCAACAAGATACAAGAGTACTGGAGTAATTTTTGCTGAATTTACCAGCTTTAGGTACTGCACTATGAAATTCCTGGATGTTTGCAGTCAATAAGGTTTCTGTGTCACAAGATAAATGTTTCCCCAACAAATGCCGATTTGAATGTTATACATTCCCACTGCTTCAATTTTTGCTCTAGGCTAAGTAGATGATTATTTAGCGTTGCTACAAGCTGTCATATTACTTATGCTGCTCACCAAAGAGGTGGTTGTGTTTCAGCATTAGGCAGGGAGCGTTCCTGTGTGAGCATTTGAGCCCAAAAGGAGCATTCCAAAAGGTTGTTGCCTATGTTTGTTGATACCCTCTAAGGCTGATTGTTGTTGCAGATGGCAGCAGAAGATGAATTTCCCTGTGAAGGTGGGTAGGAGTGGCAATCAGATGGAACTGGGAAAGGGTTATAAGTGTTTTAAATTCTCGTGTGGCAGAAAGTGTGGAAACTGTGGATAGGTTAAAGAATGATGGGTTACCATGCAGGGTTAATTTTTCAGGAATGAAGTGGAGAAATTATAATGAAATTAATTGTAGTGGAATTTGTAAACTGGCATAAAACTGAGGTCAGTCATTGTAAAATTATTCCTCTTCCTTTGGCTGGATGCTCTGCACAAGCTGCTATTCCCCCTCCTACAGTGTTAAAATCACTTCTTTTCATTTGTGCGTGCTTTCTGGAACTGATGAGATTAAAACAGCATAATACCACTTCAACTCAATAGGGAATGATTGCAACTGAAAAGCATTTATTTATTTGATGTGAATCATTCTGTAGCACATTTCAGTTTCAGTTCCATACTGGAGAGGAGGTTTTTTTGTCTTTTAAATATTTACTTAAATAGGAGAAGAGACATCCTCTGATGTCCCTGTCCGTGGCACCTTTACTTTGCTAATGCAGGTGAGACACACCTCTCTTCATAGTGCTGATGTATTGCAAAGGGACATTTAGGGTAGTTTCCATTATTCTAGTGTTACCACATCAAATCTTTGCAGTTGTATATGAGGATGCTGGTCAGTGTAAAAAAAAAAAAATCATAACATAATGTAAGTATCATAGAAAAGGTTACAAAGAAAACAAACCAAAGAGTGGGTTTTGTTGTAACGCCACTACCTGTTTTCTCTATCTTACTAGTAGTTTTTGAAATGAAATATTAAATAGCCACAGTTTTATCTAAAAATGAAGTAGATGCTTTATGGAGAAAGTTTTGTCCTAATTAAAAGGACAGGTGAATTGTGGAGAGAATGACTTAATATTGTGGTAACCATAATATTTGAATTTTAATTGTATTAAAAAACACTGCCCCTTTAATGACAGCTTTCTTACACTAATGCATAGCTTTTCTTTTTTTTAAACTTAGTTAACAGTTCAGATCAGATCCTTTTATTCCAATTTACATACATGCCAATCATTCCAGGATGGAACTAACAATTGTATCGTAGCAAGAGTGCAAGAGAGTTTGTAGACAAAGAACATTAAAAAAAAAAAAATTTTAAGGCCAGTTAATATAACTGGAAAGAACAGGCAGGCTTTTGGACTCAAAGTCCTTTCTCTGGGTCTGAAAAGGAGCAGCAGAATCTAAGACAGAGACAAGATTAGGTCCAATTCCTCTTAATCTAATTATGTTAGTTAGGGCACTTGAGAGATAAGGGTGCTTAGCATGCATAGAGCAAAGCTCCCTCCCAGTTACAGCCATCACTCTGACGGGAAAAGTTGTGTTGCAAATTGTACATCAGTTTCCAGAGAGCTCCTGGGGTCCCTAACTGCTGGCACACACCCAGCCACACTGGCAGCACACACGGGCACTGCAGTGCAGGGTCTGGGGTGGCTCTGGACAAGCCAAGTTCACATCACCATGCCAGGTCTGCACACAGAGCTCCCTGCACCTCCTCAGTGACTGTCCCACTGCTGGGGAGCTGAGTCCCTGCAGCTCAGTGCCTGGGGTTTGGGAGCCCCTCTGGAGTGTCCCCTGGGCTGCTGTGTGGACAGGATTCCAACCAGGCAAATGGGTGGATTACCAATATCCCTCGGAGTCCTTGGCCATCTGGATGTGCTGCTACCACCAGGCTCATTCCTCAGCTTGATGAATGTAACGATTTTGGAAATGGCTGTGGCTGCTCCCAATCATTCTTTTAACAATTTCCTGGACAGTTATTTTCAGGGTCTTGGCCTTTTCCTTCAAAGCTATGTGTCTTTATGTTTCAAGATCTCTGAACAGCAACTTGTACAGGTATGTCCTTTTGTGTCTACTCCTCATCTTGGAGCAATTGCCTTTTGAATGGGCTTGTGACAAAGTGACTCAGGCAAATGCTGCTCTAAGTGACCTTCCCACAGACACTGAGAAAAAAGGAGACAAGCATCAGCTCTCCATTTTGCTGGACAGGGCATACCCACTTAAGCATACAGTCAGGTGGAAAGCAATGTGAGTTTCATAATGGTGTCAGTAGCAGACCCCAGCTGCTCCCTCTGATACAGCACACATAGGGACTCCCCAGACAAGGCTGGCTTCAGCTCCATTTTACTCTGCAGTTCTGTCTACCTTCAGGATTTTCCAGCCCCAACAGGCATCTTCTTGTGTATTTTAAGCTGAAAGAAAAGTCAGCAAACAAAAACTGAGTCTACACAGGCACCCAGAAACAAAGCAGTCATTATAGGATATGCAACTGCTTTTTCTGAAGCATTGCTAAGTCTTATTCTCTCAGATCCGTACACACTGTCCAGTTCACATCTCAAATCACTGGGGGAAAAGAAAGTTCCCAAACGTGCTTGAAATACTAAAGCAGTCCCAGGAGGAAAAACCTAAACAAACACTGTCCCCCTCACTGAACACACCCCATCCTCCCCTAACCTACTGACACTCTCAGCACTTTCTGACTGTTCTGCTCTTCACAAGGCAGGCTTACATTGCTTGTACAGCTTTTTGTCACCCCTGTGCATTGTGTGCCTCAGTTACTGAGCCAGATGTTCTGCTGATTCTTAGAAGGGCTTTCACAGAAAGGAATTCTGTATAAAAATGCTGCTGCTGCCCTGAGACTAGGTGGTGACTAGTGGTGACTGGTCATTAGGTCAGCCCCGGTGACTTGTGGTGCCTGGCACCACTGGTTACGCAAGGGGCCAAGCAGCAGAGAGGCATTTTGACAGAATGGCTTCTGAGTGACCACTTTCCTATTATCAATCTTTACCAGAGTATGTACATATCACTGCAGACCAGGCATTTCTAATTACTATTGCTAACTCACAAATGAGCTGGCTAGTTGGCTAGGGTTGGCTAGTCTTAGCCTCTTGACAGAAGTTGTAATAAAAATCAAAAGCTGCACTTGTTTAAAATTATCAGTTATCACCTAAAATAAGGATATTTCAGATGCCATTTCCTTGAATATATGGTTAATAGTTTCAAATCTTAGGAAGCATGTGCCAGTTCCTACCCAGTTCATACAGCTGCACCAACTTCAGAGTCTTTGGATTCAGTTCAAATCTTGTTTTCAGTATGACAAGAACTTTTGGCAACACTGTAATTAAGCAACAAGAAGAACTCCAGTAATAAGACAGACAAACAAGAATACCTTAGCAAGCAGGTAAAGATCTAAAGCCTTGGGAAGGGCTGGGTAAGCTTTCAGCACAAACAGAACCATAGCAAATTAAACAGGTTTGCTTAAATTGTACTTGAGAAGGCCACTCCTAGAAACAGATCTTGAGCTACAACCTAATTTCTCCTTTCCAGGTGGCCCTTACAGACAACCTGAATCCAGAATATCTAAAAGTGCCATGGTCTCATTTCAGGCCACAGAACATCTTGTCTAGCTGGCCTCAAACTTAAGGTCTCATCACAAGGACAGATGGGTTGCGGGGAGGTGACTGGGACAGGTAATGCTCAGGGCTTGCTCGCACTGCAGGATAAGGGTCTGATGCTGGGAGTGAACTTTAGTTTTTCTCCAAGTGTACTGATTATTTCAGCAGTCCCAAATATGATCCTGGGACCTGATCAGGAGTTTAATTCAAAGCAGTAAATTTGTTCTTTAGACTGTACTCAACTCACAGAGCTCCACTGGATCAAGGAAAGCCCCAAAAATTACACATTAGGTATGCACAGTTTCATAGCAAATGCAAATACTTTAATGTCATATGAATGCAGTGGATTGCATTAACAGCATGCTGGTGGCCTACTTAAATACTGGCATTTTCTTCTCTTCAGTGCATGTGCAATTTATAATAGCCAGCTAACATCAGGAAGCTTTTCATGCTCCAAGGCTGAAATACTTGTATATTATACTTGTATACTGTACTACCCCCAAAGACTAATAGTAAAACAAGATAGGGGAATTCACTCCCTAGAGAGAAGACTCCTCTAGGCTTTAAGGACACATAACTTCCAATGAAAGCTTTACAGGAGAGCTGATATGTGCAGTATGACTGAGGCTCAAGACTACCCCAGTGTGTGTCTGTCTGATGAGGTGCCTGTGGCACTGCTGTAGCATTACAAACATGTACCAGTAAATCCACCTCTGAATGCACTTAATCTCCCTTGGGAATGAAGTTCATCTTTCACAATGCAACATGGTCTTCTAAACAGAAGGAGAAAGAAAAAGACATTTATCATTCTTGTGCCAGGCAGAGTTCAGCTTGAAAGAAACCGGATGAAATGTGTATCATTCATCTGAGGAACAAATCCACACTACAGATTTGTCTGAGAGACAAGTGAATGTGATCCAAAAAAGCTATCCATTTCAGAATGGGAGGCTTGAATTCAGTCCAACCAGAAAATGCATGCTGAGTAGCATCCATTTAGTCAGAGTAGTAATGGTTTCTTCTAAGATCGCATTGCCTTGATCATTGTGTTAAACACTGTATATATAACCAACAAAAATTCCCATCTTTGCAAATGCAGGCTATCTGCCAGTTCCACAAAGGGATTTTTTTTTCATAAATAGCTACTGCAAAAGGGATGTTGCCTGCAGAGCAGGTTCTGTGTGCTCAGCCTACTGTGATCATCAGGTCTGAGGGCACAGTAAATGGAATTCACAAGCCTTTCCAAGTCACCTCCTGTGTAAAGCCCTGAACAGACATCCCAGAAGTGAAGTAAGGAACAACTTCCCCCTCCGCCCCTTTGGGCAGCTCTCAGACATGCCTTTAGCAATACCTAAAACAAGAAAAACACCTACAGCCACTTCAATGGGGCTGGCGGAAACAGAACGGAAATGAGAAACTGATTAGGTGGAGAGCCAGCTTCACATGCACTGAAACTTCCAACTTTTGTTCCTAACGACTTTTTAAAAACTGCTTCAGTTTTGCTAGTATTCCCTTTGAAAAAAAAAAAAAAATCTTGGCCCATGAGCTCTCAGTGCCTACACAGATGAAAGCTGTGAGAGGCCTTAAATGACTTCAGCAGGAAACTACTGGGAAGGGGAGGGGTCTGTTTTCTGACAGTCCCATTACACATTTCTAGGAAAAATCTTTTCAAGTTCTGTGGACGAAAACGAAACAGAATTACAGCACTGCCTCTCTTTTGGAGACAATCAAAACAACACTTTTTTCTGCTCTCATGCTGTAGTGCTGCAAAGTAATTTCATTCTTTTTTTATCTCTCCTTCTTAGGATCTCGGGGTCAGGAATAGCACTTCAGAGTGAAGAAATTGTTAGAACCAACGCAATCTAATCTGCTCAAAAAGGACTCACGTTTGTTTCAGGTAAACTTGAGAAACACTTTGTTCTACAGTTGCTTTCATAAATCCTTCTGTCATTTCCCAAACTGTTCAGTGATCTCAGGAGTTTTCTGTTTAGTAGCAGTGACAAAGCACTCGACTACTGCAGGAAAGCTGAGCAATAACAGACGTCAGCCAACGCCACCCCCAGATCACTGGGGTGGAAGGTCATCCTCAAACAGTATTTCCATTTTCCCCTCTTGGTAAATTGCTCTGGGAAAAAAAAATCCTCTTTTTTTGGTGTAATGTAGTTAAAAATTAGGAAGTCACCACCACTTACACAAAGCTGGAATTCCTGGCTGTGTTGGGAATTTCAGCTGATGTCTCCACCCAAGCAGCGTGTGGAACCAATGTAATGGCTAACACAATTCAGAGCTTAAAATGGAGTGATGGTGCAGCTCCAGCTGTTTTTAGAAGTCAGTACAAGAGATCTTAGGAAGCATTAGAGAAGAAATAGAAACAGAGGTGATTTATGGTGTCTAGTCTGATGATGTGCACTAAGGAATATGTGAGTGACAGTGTAAAAAGCAAGGGAGAAAAGCATCACTGGACAGTATTACACAGTGCCAGGCTGAGGACCAAGACAGCCACAAAAAGTGATGACTGTTGGGACATATCTCATGGGAAGCAGGTGCATTGTTTTTCATCTGTGCTTCTAGAAAAGGCACAGTCCCCAAAGATGAAGATACATGACAGCCTGGGATAGACAATAGAGCTTTTGTTCTGATGAAGATGAAAGGTTCACTGTGAGCAGACTTGGCCCAACTGCCCTTAACAGTTCCTGTGACTGGATTTGCTCTACAAATCCCTCAGTTATCACAAGCTGCAGCTCCCTATTTATCAGCTCATCCAAGCCAACTCTGCAAGGGCTTTTTTATTCCCTGAGAACTGAGCTGTACTGTTTGACCAAACAAGTTTCCACCTTCTTTCCCAGTCCTAACATGCAGAGAACTAAAATCACTGGCAGGGCACAGTGATGACAAGCATTTACCTTATTACCAAATATATTTCCATATAGGCCCCTGCTTATATAGTTCCTCAACTAGCTGCTAGTTCTGATGCAGATTTTTAGCAATGTAATAACTACTTAGTATTTAATGAGTATTTAGTAGTAATTTCATAGATCTGCTATCTGGAGATGTTAGACACAAAGGATTTATCTGGTGAAGAGAATCATGGTATAAACTCTGTCCTCACTGAAAACAGAAGCTGATTTGCTGCCAACATCAGTGCTTCATATTTGCACAGGGTACTGTGCTGTGTATTTACAAAAATAATTAAATAAATAGATAAGCAATGGAACTATTTGACAAGAACTACAGAGGGGTGAGACATTTAATAAAACACTTCTAGGGCTTTCATCTCAAAAAGCTAATTTAAAAGGTTGCTTATAAATAATAAAAAAAATCAGTGTTTCTTTGAAAACTCAAAATACCCAAACCTCAGGTAATGCAGTTCTTCACTAAGAGTACAAAAACCTCTTCTCAGAACATGTTAAACCTGTACATCCCAGTTCCATATTGGCAGGTAGGACTCACTCTGCAAACTAGACCTAACTAGAAACATTTTGCTAAGCACATTCTAAAGGGCTATAATTCCCCCTCTAAAAATGGTCTGAGAATTCTGTACTTTCTGGAGTGGTGAAATTAAACAGTTTGAAAATAAAATGTTTCGGGCTTACAGGACTCCTCAAACACTTCTACAGATGCAGCAGCAATTAAAATGACTAGGTTGAAATTGTCATCAATCTGACTTCAGCACAGTGCTAGCTTCTTCCCTTAGAAACAAATTTAACATAATTTCACTCTGTCACTAACCAGGATTCTTTGGTTCTGATATAGTAACTATCACTAAAGCACATTAACAAGCTGAGCACTTTTCTAAAATAAAACTGTAGGACGTCAATGCAAATCAACAGTAAAAATCTATTTTAGAAGGATGTAAGAAGTAAAATAACTTAGTTACAGAGCATCTGAATGAGGAAAAGAAATCTTGTTTTGCAGCCCATTTCTGTAAACTAAAGCAGTTTGCTTTTTCCCCATTGATAGAAAAAACCTGCTAATTTTTGGCATAAACCCCCCAACATTTAACGTGTTATTTTTGATAAGTAGATTTTGAAAAGAGCAAAATATGAAGGAAGGCTTTCATTAATCATGTAGGATATAAATTTTTTGGCAGGTGAAATTCTTTATATTTTGGAATGAATAGTCCTGAGGTAGAAGGGCTAGTTCAGTTATTGAAAGAGAAGTGTCCATCTTACCATCTTACAGCATTTTTCCTACAGCTGTTCTGTGACCATTCTTTATGCTCCATTCTCTTGACAGGAGTGATTTTCCTTGGACATCAGTGATTAATGGAAATTCCAGATCACTCCAGTAAAATGCAGTCTCACAAGGAAGAACCTGCAACATCTCAGAGATCACAGTCTTAAAAAGGATCCAAACCCAGTGAGCAACTGCATTCTCCATAAGTGAAGCCTGTCCATCTTCTAAAATCATCTCATGGGGAGGAGATGTCCACAGTAACAGCAACCAACTATAACAGCAACCCAGGAGAAGCTATGGCTAAGGTAATAACCTTTGGGAAAAGCTTTTAAAAAGTACTTTGACTATTTTAAAATAATGTTACTATCAGATAGATTTACTAGATTTTAGAAGTCTTTTTCACTCAAACTTCTTCCTGATCACCCCTGTACATTTGCAAAGTATGTTTATCATCCAGTCTTCTCCAAACCACCATTATTTTCAAAGGAAAAGGGAAAAATACTGCAAAGGCTTCAATGATGTGAGTGAATTATTTCATTCACAAGTGCAGCATGTGCTCTCTCTTCTGTAATGACACAGTACAGAAAACAAGAGGTAATTAATGCAATTCCTTTGCCAAATGAGTGGGATCTTATAACGAATTGGCACATAATTCTGATTTGAGCTTCCTTGTTTTAAACAAAACCAAACTTAATACAGAACAATATAATGTACTAACATGGTCCTTTGCCATATTTTTCTTTTTCCCCCAATACAAGGGTCTGCAAAGTGCTGGGCCTGTAATCAAAGGACACTCAGTGCCCAAACCAGCACTGTTGATGCAGCCAGACATTTCTGTGTGCTGCAGTACAGCCATGAAAGTGAACCAAACAAGAACATTTGGTCTTTTGTTGTCTTACATACCAAGAGAGAAAAGCATGGCTCTGCCTCTGTTCTACCCAATGAACAGATGTGGGTTTAATCACATACAAAAGAAAATGCTCACAAGTTTCAGACTATGACTTTGATATTTAGGAGTAAAATTACTTTCTCAAAGAAAGTAATTTTCATCTAATTATCTTGAAACTGTCCATAAAAGGAAGATAGGTAAGGAATTGGATAAATACACCAAATAGGGTTTCCTTTGGAGTTATTTTCTGCCACTGGAGAGAAACCTAAGGAAATTTTCATAAACAAAGCACTCGTGGCAAGATAAGAAAAGAAGCCTCAGGGTCCAATATCAGAAAGTTATAGGAGATTCTTCAATAAATAGATACTACAGAGCAGTGTAAATTCAGATGCCTCCTCTGTCTTGCTGAACTCAAAGCTGCAAATCAACTCAATACACAAGGTTAGCAAACAGCAGAATTAGGTAAAATAGAAGCAGAAAATGCCATACAAAAGCCCCAAAGGACACCTTAAGGGCTATAACTTTAATCTGGCCACTAACCTACTATCCAGCTCCCCTGCCTCCCCCCCAGCTCAAATCACCTCATAAATACCTAAAGCAGATTATCCTTCCTTCTGGGGAGCATTAGAGCTCTGCCAAGATGTGTGAAATGCAGATCCAGGGAACACAGATCTGGGGCAACTCTTCAAGACACATTTTGGAAGGATGTCCACGGCATGGAGGAGGTTGGCATTCACATCCAGAGAGAACAGGGATGATTCCAATGCCACCAGGATCTATCTCATGCACGTGGCCTCTGCAGGGATAATGTGCACAAAGGGATCTCTCTCCCACATCTGGGTGCTGCACCAGGAGCAGAGGGTGGAGGGACAGAGATGAAATCTGTGGTTCTGACGTGAAAGCAAGATGCACAATGCTGGCATCTGGCAGCCATAAAACCCTCATGAGGCAGAGCTGGGCCTTGGGCTGCGGCCAGCCAGGGTGCCTAAAGGATAACAAGAGCTTGTAACCCATGCAGAAGGGTCAGGATGGCAGAACACAATCATGGCCCATGCAACTGCAACTGCAAATTCCCAGCTTCCCAGGGTTTCACTAAGAGTGTACCCAACATCCTAAATTAATCCTAAATTAATTTTAAACCCACAGGCATTCAAAGTTCATCACAAATGACCAGGCCCACAAAGCATCCAGACACACACCTCCCACTGAAAATCAGTGGGAGTTAAGCCCCTAAATACTCCAATAGTTCTGACCAAGTATTTTCCTTTTTTCCCACCCTTAAAAACCCCAAGTTGTGTTGTCCCTTTGAGCCTCTCTTGCTCATAGCTTTTTTCAGTCCTATATTTCACTGTAATTTCTTGGGAGCATCCCAACCTGCAGTGTCCAGGCAGCACCACCTATCTGGAGTTTCAGAGATAGTGCTGGTGTCTCTGGAGCATGCAGCACTCACTTCAACAACTGCTCTTCATCCCACTCACGCGTTACCAGCTCCATTTACAGGCACAAACTCCTCTAATGCCAGTCACAAGACAAGATTACAGATCCTGAATGAAACCACGTCTAAACTCAGTATTAAGGAAATTTCATGCAGCAGTTTCACTTACAAACTTTCTTGCAATGCCTAGGATCTATCTGAGTTTCTAAAAAGTGAGTTTTTAATTATGAGCAGAGAAACAATAGCTCACTTCAGCATGAAAAAGAATACACCCATTATTTTTCCATGCTCTGTAATTTAAAAATAGGTCAACTCATTAGCTTTAAAGCTTTCAAAAATACTAAAACTGAAACACAGGGCTCCGTTTCTTTTTGTTTTTTAAGCCAGACCCAGAGATTGAAGAGTTTTAGACCAATGACTACTTTAAGATGATGAAAGAGGATAAAGTTTTTGAACTATGAATCTAATACAGCCAGAACAGATTGATTTCATAGTAAATTTTTAAACAGAAAGTAAATTTTTAAACATTGACTAAATTTGAAGCATTTAAATAAGACCAGAGCATTAACTGCACACCAATTCAGAAGTGCTGCAGGGCCTATAATTTGTCACTCTGCACATACAGATCAAGATAACTTTTCTCACATTTTTCCATTGTGTGCATGGTCAGAATGCAAACAGGGGCCAAAGTGCACCTGAACAGCCAATTGAGAGACTTCCTATATGTAATGTGAACCAGACAGAATCAATACACACTGAAAAAAATTGACTAGGAAAAGGCAATTTCTTACTCTTTGCTTAAAACCGTAACCCTCAGGGCCAGAATTGCTCTCTTGACATTTTGTAAGTTGACAACAACAGAATTGTGGTTAGTGGGACATTGAGTCCCAGTGCTTCCCAAGCACCTTCTGCATGACCTGGGACACACCTGCATTCAGTATGAAACACAAGTTCTTCAGTGCCCAACAGGCTTCAGGGCTGTGTTGTCTATCCCCAGACCAAAGTTCAGCTGCCCAAACAAAACTGCTGGTTTAAGATCTTGATAGGTAAGTCAGACCAAAACCCAACTACTCTGAGCCATCTCATACTTCCAGTCACTTCAGCTGAGAATAATTTGATTTTAAAATTGAATTTAAGCAAGTTGTTAGTAATCACTTTTCAAGTATTTATTTGATTGAGGGAGGGAGGAGAGGAAAATCAAGCTATTTGGCTTTCCAAGTATTTAACATAAAACCCAGAAGAGCTCCATCTGGCAACCAGCAGGATTTCTAAATAATCTAAATAGTATCTACATAAGAACCAGGCTGTCTATGGAGTGAGACAACTTCAACTTTTACAGCCACAAGAAGTCTTTATTAACATAAAAGGAAATTATAAAGAATTACGTTAGAACAGGAACAAGAGCCTGGCAAGCTGACAAAAGACCCCAGGAATCTCTGCATTAATCTTGAAATGCTGCTTTTGACTTGTTGGAATATAGCATCATACTCTGCATGGTTTTAAAAAAACAAAATAAAAACCCTCTTAGGTTCAAAGGACTCAAGCACAATAAAACCAGCTCCAGGAAAATATTCAGATTAATGAAAATCAATATGTAATTCCTTACTTTGCTACACAAAAAACAACCCTTAATATTTGAACATACTTTGGAAAACATCAGTATTTAATTAAAGTCATGGAAAAAGCCCTTCATGTCCATAGATGTCTGTCTTCATTAAGAAGATGGTTCTGAGTAATGCTGCTAATTATGTAAATTAAATACACTTTTTTGAACTAGTTTTACATATAGAAAATATGGTAATTCTAATTTCCAAGTAAGTAAACACCTCAGAGTATACAGTATTTAATTTTCTGACTTACTCATGTGTAAGATCTGTCCTTGCACTTCATACCTAGCCTATCCACTTTTTGGATCATTTGTGAGTGATCCAAACCTGGTGGTGGTTTGGTGTCATATGGGAAATATTTAACTGGTCCTCAATGCCCCTGTCAAGTTGCCATTGGGATTTTCTGTCAGTTTCTTGGCAAAAAATCAAACAGTGAAACAGTGGGCCCAAAAAAACATGTTATGGTGATCCTGTGTGGATAGGGCAGCCTTGAAGCTCTGCGTTTTCCGCTATCCCTGGGCTACAGGAAGAGAATTTCTATCTTTATCATTGCCCATCTGGCACCTTTCACAGGCAGCAAGAACAAAGAAGTAAAACGTACTGGCCCCTACCATCTGCTTCTGCTTGTGAAGTCTGGAGAGAGCCCGATAGGGAAGAAAGCAAAGAAAGATAAAACCCAACCCCTTCGTTTCCCACCAAACTGTTCTGGCAGGTACACGTTGTGCCTGGATTGTACATCTCTTAGGGCCACCCCAGAGACCTCCGGTTCCCCACAGCAGCCCAGCTGCTGAGCACAGAGCATCCCAAACCCTCCCAGCCTCCTGCCAGCCCCGAGAGAAAGGCTCTGCTGGCTGAGAGTTGCTTTATTGGATCAGCCGCTGCTTTATCTAGCATAGGAAAATTCCTGTGGGTTTAATAAGAGGTATTGCCCTACAGATTTTCCCTGGTCCCACCTCCTTTCCCATCAGCCACATCCCCTGTTACTGCAAGGCTGCATACACCATGTGTTGGCTGGACCCCTTCTGTCTCTGACAGAAGTTTGGCCAAAAAGAGCAGATTTTCTGCTACTTTGATCATTTCCTGTGGTAAAAAGTGAAGGGAATTATCTGACCTAGGGTCTTTTTTTTTTCTTTCTTTCTTAGTTTTGAAAAATAACATGGCTTTACATTTGCAAGTTCCCTTAAATAGTGTACTTGCTTTCCAATAGCATTCTGCTGCTGGTTTACTGGTTGCCTTACAAAACTTACTTTTTTTAGAACCAGAAAACACATTGCTCTGATCTCAAAGTCGAACTCAGCTGCTGTATTATTACATCAGTAATGACCTTCCCCATGCTGAAGGAGCAACCACAAGATAGTATCAAATTTACAGACAATACAAAGGTGGCAGCTCCTTCCCAGTTAAAAAATTATTACATTTAAAAAACAAGCTTACTTCTCTTGTGGTGGGGATAGCGTTGTTTTTGGCTACAAATGTGCATTGCATAATGTCTTTAGAAATAAGTTAACCATTTTATTAAATGCACTATTAAGAATGCATTTAGCTATGACATATGTGATATAAGCACCCTAAAACTTTTTTTTTTCCTTCAAGGCTCCACATCAGAAAATCTCCTGCTTGTGTAAGCCCATGATGCAACAGTCACAGTACCTGCTGATTTAAATGGTGAGGAAGATTTGGGAACAGGAGCCTAACTATGGTGCCAAGTGAGAATCACTGACCTCAATGGGCCCTGCAAGTGCACCCTGAAAACTCATCCATTTTGTATTTCTTCTGGCCCAGAGTGTACAAAGTAAGCAAACAGCATGAATCTACCTACTGAACTATTGTCTTGTGTCAGAACTAATATTCTATAGGAATAAATGCCAAATAAATTATCACAATAAACATTAAGTCTATAAATGTGGCACTACAGCATTTAGATACATATATTCACACTTAGTATTGGTACCCCACTTTTTTCAGCTCAGAAAAATGCCATAATGTGCAAGTTGTGCTTGTTGGCATCAAAACTCTGGGGTTTTTTTTGACTTTGCTATGCTAATTACATGAGTAGCCAGATTTTGACAGATACAGTGTTAAGCTGAGACCAGGGTGCAGCGTGTGCCTCCATTTGTGTGAGCTGTACTCTCAAAAGAAATGATTGAATGTTCTGACCTGTTAAAATTACTACTGTTTTAAAACGTTACAGGAAGTCACTTTGGTGAATTTACTATTTGTGTATATTTATTTTTTTTATCAGCCTGTTAAAAAATCATGGCCTGGCTACATTTCCCACTTTATTTATAAAACTGAATCTTTCCTGAATTCACACAGCTCAAAAGGAAAGGAACATCTAAGGCAGTCTGGTTTCTTTCAGTATTAAAAAAAGAAGAAGAACGTACTTATTTATATATGTATGCATGTACCTCACTTAAAAATATAATAAGAAAGGGGAGGAAGAATCTACAGTAACCTCGTTAAAACAAAAATTGCACAAAACCACTTCAAACAAGATCTTACCACAACAAAAATCAGCGTTATCATCGTTAATAACACAGTGCCTTTCATATGCAGAGGTAATAAGGAGGCTGTACTGTGATCCATATAATCTCAATAATGTATAAATGAATCAAAAAGGATCTAATTAGTTCAGCAGCACCAAAAACTAATAAGTAGAAACATCAAAAGAGCCAGCGGGACATTCCATTTTTTTTCAGAATTGTCTGTTTTGTGTCTGGCAGGAGGAGGCCCCACCATGGAGGTGACAGCACCTGGAGCTCGAGGATGCTGCTGTGGCTGTGCCCTGCAGCTCCCAGCCCATCCCTGCACGTCCCGCACGGATCCTGCCCCACCGGGATCCGCACAGGAAGGGTGGGGCGGGCTCCTCACCTCCTGTCTGCAGATAGCACATCCTGAACCAACACTGCCCCTTTTCCTCCTTCCACACAGCCCCGGCGGAAAAGGAGAACGGCCACTGGGGAGGCGCCTCGGCTCCCACGGACACACGCGAGGGAGGGAGACCAAGGAGAGATGGGCAGAGACTGCACCTAGCATGGAGCCACGGGACCTCCCTGAGCAGGGCCTGCACCCAGCACAGAGAGACTGCACTCAGCACAGAGCCATGGAACCTTCCTGAGCAGGGACTGCACCCAGCATGGAGCCACAGAACCTCCCTGAGCAGAGACTGCAACCAGCATGGAGCCATGGGACCTCCCTGAGCAGAGACTGCACCCAGCACAGAGCCACAGAACCTCCCTGAGCAGAGACTGCACCCAGCACAGAGCCACAGAACCTCCCTGAGCAGAGACTGCATCCAGCAGAGCCACAGGACCTCCCTGGAGATGGCCTTGGCCTCCTGCGAGTCCATCCCGACTCCTACAGCTGCTTCTGCCCTATGATGGGAAAAGTTTTGTGTATGCACACCTGAGAACCCCTTAGCAAATACCTGTGGAGGCATCCCAGTCAAAGGTAGAACACTGTGTGCATAGATGTACTTATTAAAATAAATAATTAGAATAATAATAAGAATAATAATTACTTAGAACCTGTGTTCTATGTGGTGAAGTATGGAAGTGGGAGGACTTCTGTACTTCACCACATAGCTGTGGGCAGCCATGCCTCTGCAGCACTCACTGCATGGCAAGAACATCACACCCTGCAGGAGTGCAGCCCGGGCTGATTATGGCAAAGAATTGTTCACACAATTCACTGAAGTCAGAAAAGTTCCATTTAAATATAAACAGAACCTAACCCAGAGGTCTGCTGTACTTAAGGAATTATTTCTCTCTAACCCTGAGGATTCAGATGTAGCTTTTATGTCCTCCAACAGATGTGTCTGTCCACTACCCAGTAATGGTTCACTCCACTTAAGTAAAAGCATCATATGCAAGAGAAACAATAATGCTATAAAACAAAGACCTTTCACTACTCCAGGTCCATTCCACACCCAAAGCCCAAAGGTTTCCTTCTTCAAAGAAATAAACAGGACAGTATTTGTTGAGGTTTAAGCCACAGTAACATTTTAAGGTGCCAATAGCTTTCAACATGGTTTGATCTGCAGACCTATTTAAAAACCCAATTATGCAATGAAGCAGGACAGAGAAACAAAACCTCCTTTCCAGAAGATTTGCTCTTCTATTTAACAGAACGTATAGAAAGCATCAGATCTCACAGGGCCAGGCTGACAACATCCATCATTACAGCTCTGGGAACTACTGCAGCATGCACAAAGCTCCACTCACACCTCCCAAGGAATTCAACTGGAGGTCAGCTGCACCTCAAAAGCCAGCCATGGTCTGCTGTAATCTGCAACACCAAACTCAAACTGCTGTGACAGAAATCTCTACTGAGGAGCTCCAACACAAACCTCTGAAGAATTAAAGTCCACTCCAGCAAACCTTCACAATCCCAAGAAGACATATGGCACACGCCAGGCTAACCAGCAAAGTTTTCTAAGAAATCATATTGAAACTCATAGATTTAACACACAGATGGCCCACAACACCTACAAGAATTAAAATTCAAAACCTTCTCAAGAGGTAACACCAAATGCTGCTAAAGACAAACAAAGCCAGGCTGTGCCCCGCTGCAGCAATCACCAGTGCTCTGCACAGCAATCCCAGTGTATGCAGCACTGCCCAGCTGCCCACAGTACAACTGGAACAGCTCTGTGTGCTAGGGCTAGTACTGGGAGAGGAACAGCATTTATGAAAATAAAAGAACTGAATTGAAGCCTCTATGCTGCTGTCTAGAACTTACAGTTACGTTTGTACCACCCATTCCCTAGGGGAAATGACATACAATACAAACAGGCCTAGTTGTTCAATTATTCAAGTATTAAAAGATTCACAGAAAAGCATCTGAGAAACATAACATTTTAATAGATGAAATAAATACTCCAGTACATGCAAGATAAAAACTGACATTGGAAAAAAATTAAAAATCACTTTTGTTATAGTGTAATTTTGTTTGTTTGTTTAAACACTCACAGTAGCTTTTCCCCCAGTTTGGAAATCAACACATGGAAAACATAATCCACAACCTCCAGTCCTTCCACTCCTACACACCAAATGCACTTCTAACCTAACACTTGATGCAAAATAAAAAAAAGTCATACAAAACAAAAACAAACAAAATAGTAGCTACATCCATCATCTATGTGTTGTTGGGTTTTTTTGTTTTTTTAAATGAGTTAGAACTGAGGTAACCTTTTTCCTGCACAACCGAACAGCAAAATTTAGAAGGGAAATTTCGGAAGACAAGACAAGACAAACTTTAAAAACCGCACCCAGCGCGATTAAAGCTCTTTTTTTTCTCCTTTTTCTAAGATACCCCCACCTCCCCAAATATAAAAAACTTTGAAACAGTTTTACCACTTGTGTGAAGACCTTGTTGAATAAAGGAAAATTTATCTGCAGATACTTGCTTAACTTTAAAGTAAAATAAAAAGAAGCCAAAACTGGCTACCTTTATTAGTACATATAGTTTGAATACGTTCTGCATCTTCACCACATGAAATCAAAGGATTGGGCTCATCCAAGCAAATTCTTTGGTATACAAAAAAGGGGTGAGGAGGTGGGATATTATTTTCCTTTAGCAATGACTGGGATCTAAACAGAAGATGTGGGGGTTAATTCACAGAATTTGAGTTCACTGGCGGTAAAGTCCTGGGTGAAGATCTTTCTCTTAGTGCCTGAGATAGCAGGTTGCAGCCATCCGAGACGGCGCAAGCTGAGTTCCTCAACCGTTCCCTGTAATCGCTCATTTTGGTGCTACTTTCGGGGTGTTGGGCGATATCCCTGAGGCATTGGGTCAGGAGCACACAAGCAGATACCACGCTCATGGCTCCTCCTAGGATGGCAGTTTGCACAGCTTTGCCCTCTGGATTAATGGTGGCAGCTTTACCCAAAAACTGGGGCTCAGTGGCAAAGCCCACCAGAGCATAGACGGACTGCACCAAAGGTCCACTGAACAAGACGCACCGGTTCCTGGTCAGCTCGCTGGGCGAGGTCTTGACCTCCTTGACACAGGCCAAGAGGGCAGAGGCGCTGGTGCTCATACATTTGACACTGAGTTTGAACTGCTCCTTAGCAAATTTATCCTTGGATTTCTCACTGGCCAGCACGCAGGCGTCTGTCAGGAATTTCAAGTTCTTGGACATGTTCTGAGAAACCTCCAGCAGGAGCTGAGGGCTCATATCTGCCAAAGGGGTGGTCTTCAAGACCCCGCAGCCGTGCTCCACCTCATGCCTACATCGGGTCACCTTGTAGCGATCCACCAAGCCAGGCATGGCAGGCTGGGCCCCCGGAGTCTCCACTGCAGCCAGGTAGGCAGCGTGGGCAGAGCACTCGGTCAGGGAGACCACCAGCTCCCCCATCTCCATCAGGCTTTCTCCCACCTCCCCGAAGCGTCCCATGTTGAGCTGGCTCTGGACGTCATGGGTCAAGATGGAGAGTCCTTTGGTCCTGGCAATGATCGTGTCCCTGCACTTCTCAAAGGACTCACCGAAGACAGACAGGCTCTCGGTGTTCACCGGCCTGGTCTCGCTCGACAGCAGAAGCAGATCGGCCACCAGTTGCATCTTGATCTTGCAGTGGTCGCAGATAGAGATGAGCTTCTTCCTCTGCAGGGAGCTGCTGCTGGGGATGCCGCCGCCGGAGACCTCGCTGCTGGACTTGCCGGAGCCACCGCTAGCCATA